GAAGCTGGGAAGCACACCTTATCTTCACTACCCATCCCAGAGGAACGGCTGTTTGGCTAACATTTTTGAGTTTTTCAAGGACTCAGACGGATAAAAAGCCTGCCTGTTGATCGTAAAACTAGCTGGTGATCAACATTAAGGGAAAGAAACAGAGGAGCCCATTAGTTTCTAGTAGAGAAAAATGAGCTGGGTATATTCTACGTTCGCGTAGTCATTAGTAAGTCAAGGCATATAAATTTACAAACAAATGAAAATGCTAACCGTTAGCAATTTATTAGACAGAGGATCATGAAACCTATTTTGAGACTATCTTCCAGATATTACAAAGATTGTTCGAACTAGTTGATATACCTGGATAACATTTTGGAGCTACATTCACCCTTGTGGGGCGAATCTGGTTTGATTCTTAAAGCGCTATCAAAGCGGCGGTAATTAGCAATTCGAGATCTCCCTCAGACCCACAAACACAAATCGAAAGGTATAGGTATTTCATTGGCATTGCAGAATGATCTACAATTCGTACTTTTGTTTCTAGACAGAATTTGACGTTGGGTAGCGTTTTACTATCTAAATCAGTAAACCGGTTCCCAAAGTCATCCACAAGGGGAGGTTAGATAAGTTTACGCAAATCAGGCAGCTGGGCGTCACTTATCAATATCGTGACTGAGGGTTTGCTCCTGCTATGAATTAATCTCTGAAATATTTTCAGGTTGTACATAATATATATGGATAATGGTTTACTTCTTTGTGAAGTATGCAAAACAGCCGTTAACCACTTTTTTCTTCCGAAAGTCGCATAGTGTAATTGTGGTTGCATTGCGAGTGTTGACTACAGGCCCAGTTTCAATGTTACATTTGTAAGTGTAGGACATTTTCACACTGGTAAGATCTGTTCAACATTATCTTAGGCTTTGTGGTTCTTGTACACTATTTTCTACTTTTTGCAGTCTGTTCAAAATTATCGATGAACTTTCACGTGATTCCATATTACGTACGCCGATGGATTTGATATATCGCAGACTGTTAGATAATAAAATCTTTCGGGATCGCCAATATTGCGACAGACGTGATTTTAGAATAAAACTAGTATCGGCTAGTATCAGCTATCTTCTTCTTTGTCAGAAAGTTTTACTGCGAAAACAAGAGATACTGAAATAAAAACTCCCAGGTTGTTGTTCGTCGCCGCCTAGTCATACCTCAGGAGGTATTTAAATTGGGATTCATTTGGTCGCAGAGTTAAAAATCCTAACGTGCACCAGTTTTTGTCTATGAGATCCGGACAACAGGGATAAAGCAAGATTCGCAGTCAGGGACCTAACCGGATGAGGGGACGGGATACAGCCGATCCCCGTTCCATTGCAATCAGATTAGATTAAGAACCATTGCGCCCAAGTGACTAGTTTTAGCAAATGACAGATAAATATTTGGTATTGATTCCAGTTCTATTGCTGCAAACTAAAATAATTCATGTGCATGGTGAGCATTAGAATAAATACTCCCGTATAAAAGGTGGTCTTTCACTAAATTTTTATTGGTTAGGATTATAGTTGTGATTAGGACACGCAAATGGCTACTTCCATGGAATTTAGGACAATATCACCTGTAAGACGGAGGAAGGTACATTTACCGTGTCCGACCGTGCGCACTTATTAGATAAGTAGATAATTAGTCGAAAACTTTGCTCAATTTCACCCAATAATTCCAAAACTGAAACTCACTACCAAGCTTCGACGTTTTTGTAGATCAGGGTGCGAATTTAAGCAGGAAGACTGACGCTCCATTGTGTTTGGGATTCACAAGCATACCCAACAGCAGACCTTCGTGGTTTTTTGCGTTGCGAATGAATGCCTGACTATCAAGTCTACGTGCAACTACGAGCCCTCGGCTTTGACTGCGTGGCCTTTGGTTGTTTCCTTCTTGGTGACGCACGAACCAGTTAAGTCAGTTAGAGAACCGCGTCAACAGAAATGTGCAGATGACGGCAGAATAATGGAATTCATAAATAGGGGGCGAGTATCCGACTAAATCGAAGGAGGAGCGCGCAAAGATTAGGTTACAAGAATTTTGCGTCCCGTGGCGCTTTGTGTTTAATCCACAGCAATCAGTAATTATACCGATGGGATACCGACAAAAAGGAGACTGGAATGACCATTTCCGGCTTAGTAGCCGTTCCTCAATCATTCGTATCCTACTCCAGGTCCAAATGGTCAACCATAAGCCTCCTTTTGATGGCCGGCATTACGAAAATCGTCAGGCAGAACAAACGAAGATCGGCGGAAGAAGCGTTTAAATTGATACAGGGAAAAGAGTGCAAGCGCATTAAGTGCATAACACTAAGGTTAACCAGCAGTTACTGTTGTTGTCTAATCCTGAGGACTGTCGGAGACCTACAAAACAAGTTTTTTTTTACCAAATCTCTTTGTTGCCTTCTGTCCGTGAGTTGACTGCACAATTTCATCAAAAAATCGAGTCTTTATAAAGCAATCAGATAATTCCGGTTCGTTTTTTGTCTCAGTTCCCGTTATACCTCCAAGATCGAAGGATATAATCAGGAGAAATCGCGACCTATTTTCGCATGAGGACATTCTCTATATCAATCCCTACATACTCGAAGACTTGCGCAAAACTTAATTAAAACTTTTTACTGCGTAAGACTGTTAGGAGTCAGTCAAAAATATAACTAAGCGTTGTTGAAGACACATGTTTGCAGACCAATTTAACATCAGTGGATTCCTGACTACCCGTTCTAATAACGGAACCGGTGCTGAGGCGTCTGAACACAACCGAGTTCGGCCAAAGCGAGCCCGCGCCTTGTCTCGTAATGCAAACGAAGTGTTTGTTACAATTGCAAGGGCCATGCTTCAGAAACTCCGCAACCCACACAACGCAATCTTACCGGATATGCGACACAAACGTGAAGAAGAAGAAGAAACGGTGTACCAGTTGCTCTCCCTTGACATACCCGCCCGAGAAGCCTCTTAAGGCTTACCTGGAGCATATATTTGAAACTTGAACAAAGAGTTGGATGTTTTTACTCTTCTACCAGTCTTTCCCATTCCTACCTTTGAACACCTGAGCATGTAGGTGTTCGACCACCAGTATTCTTGGAAAGTTGTTGGCCCGCCTTGTCGACAGCACATTAATCACATGATATATAGGTCGTGATTACATCCCAATCATGTGGATTATGCGAAACAGGTAAACCAGGGATAGAAAAACACCTCGCAAAAAATTACGTATGGGTAGCATTGTGAATTTAATTATTTGAAGTAGAGTATAAAAAATATTCAAGTCGAAAAGGCATAGCAGAGTTTCATGATTTTATTTTTGAAAAAGCGCTTATCACATGTGTGGGAGGTGTGTTACAGTTACATCCTATTTTTGAAAAAGTGCATGTCAGAATTAAAAGACTTTTCCTGAGGACCTAAATTAAACGAGGTAGAAAGATATAACCGAAAGGGTACTCCTTCAATATCCAAATGTTTCGATAGGTTTGATCTGAAAACAGGACTGCTGCTCACATGCTGCGTAGTCGCAAAACAAATCGACGCTTTATTCAAATAATAAAGGGGGCATCATGAACAGTACCACGTATTTGCCGATTCAGTTGCCTGAATCCTTGATTTAATGCCTGTTGGCAACGACTCCAAGTTTACGTAGTATTTTAGACCATATCTCATACGGCCTGGCATTATCGCCATGGTAACCATGGTCTTCTTACAACGGTCAGATTTTGAATTAATGATTTCCCCGTCCACCAGTATATCGCTTATGTCTATCTTCATAATCGTTAGCAGTCATGATTTATGATCTGATAGTTAGGACTGCAAGTGAAGGCTTTATGGCGCTTATTGATCTTTCTCGAGTTTCGGTTTTTTTACAAATCCGTGACTAACGAATCGACAGATATTATAAAATACGACACTCGTATTACTAAAGAAGACTAAATCCACATAAAAAGTGTCTAGAACGGGCAACCGCAGGAATAAATGTGAACGAAAGTACTCTACAACGTGGACTTAACCCTTTTGAACAAAGCTGAAGAGCATTTTGTTCCACTCAGTCTGATCCCAAAAAAATTGGAAGAAACGGACAAATCGTAATCGGAACGCAAGTCTGTGAGCTGTAGGCGTACCACCACACTTCTGGTCCACAACGAACACCGTGATAGTCTCAGACTCACACCACATGCAACGGAGGAGCCGCATCGGAAGGGGTCGAGATGCACACTCCGCAATAGCCTGGGAGGTTGCAATTGGGTGTTTGTGATGGATGCTAGCGTTGTGAGTTGCGGTGCTGGTGATGGTGGGTAAATGTGTGATGGTGTGGTGTAGCCGGCCGTTGTCTACTGCAGGTTTTCACGAATGCTCATGAGACCTCATAGGGCCATGCGTAGAGTGAATGTGCAATGGCAGTGTGAAGAGTAGAGGCGAATAAGACGACTGTATGTTGATGTTCCAGGCACTGGTACACCAGTCTCTGTGCGATGGATTCGCAAATGATCGACCGGGCCGATGTGTGAGGTGAATGTGCGAGTGCAATGAAGGCAGGATGGGACCGAGCTCATATCGCTGAAGGTGGGGTTGTAGGTGGTGATGATAGTAAATGGCGCGACCTCGGATATCTTCCCGTCAGTGTGAGGAGTGCGAGAGATCATGGTCGCTGCGACAGCGTAGGAGATTGGGCATGGCGGTTGATGCCGAAACTTGATGACGGCGGGATATCGGCGGTCTGATCACCGATGACGACGGTGTTTGTCGTTGTGGGGTTTGCGACAGGGGGGAGAGTGGGAGAGGAAGTAGATGCTGTCCGGTTGTTGACGCATTGGGTCCCGAAGATGTCCTACGAGACCGGATGATGCCCGGAGACACCGTGAGCGCATTGGAAGGTAGAAGGCCCTTCTCCGTTCCATCGGTTGGACGATCGAGGCAGTCTCTGTGCAGCACGTTCTTGTCGGCGAGCAGGTTGCTGATGGCTGTGTCGTTTTCGTCGAACCTGTCATGGCGTTGACGGCGTGTGCGGCCGAGGACACCCAGAGCGGTCGAATGGACGGCGTCTCGCAGGGTGCATCATCGAGTCTCAACGGTAACGTTTTCGTCTGGAGTTTGCAGGTCCTCCAGACACTGAGCCAATTGATTGTTGAAATGTAAGCGGTGAGGTGGCAAAAGCAGTTAATCGGTACTCAGCTTACCTGGTGGTAGCTTGCCTTGTGGCTACCAGCGGAGCTTCCGACAAAGCCTCATTTTGGGGATGACGAAGTGGCGTAGGGGTATGGGAGGAAGGGGAGATGTGGGGAGGTGGGTGAGGGGAGGAACTATGCATGTGATCGAAAGCAGAATTCCTGGATGTAGGCGTAATACTCAACACCTGCTTTGGCCCGCCAGTCGAGGCGGCTTCCGGCGTGTATCCGCAAGCAGAGTTCAGCTTCGTAGAACCACACTCGAGAGTGTGGTGCCAATGAGTGGGTGAGCGACCTACTACGACCATCATCCGGACCCATATTTGGACACACATTTACTTTTCGACAGTTCGACCATTGTACCCGACGATGTTCACAGTATGCTTCACATCAGGTTGAGAGCAGGCACCGTGACCTGCGCGTGTATTAGTTTACAGTGATGGTAGATTTGCGCAGTATCTACCGTATTCTCCCCCTTTCCCCCTCCACCTGGACCTGGTATCAAAATAGAGTCAAGAACATCGGAGGTTTGAGGGGACGCAGGTGGCTTTCATGGCCGGACCCGCACCCAGGCGTACCACCACGTCCCTGGTCCACAACAAACACCTGACCAGGAGTTTACTCAACAACAACAACAACAACAACAACAACAACAATGGGAGTGCAGCAGGAATCCCAAATGGCGCGACGTGAAACGGCAGTTGGGCCTGCCATCACAACCCGAACGTTAGCATTTTAAGAATGCCATAAAGACCACTTCAAGAAGCGGCCATTGCAGCCTGGATCTCCGATTTGAGACAGACTGAGTTGCTGATAGAATCGAACAGCCGAGTTCCAGGAAGCAGAAAATAACCAACTAGCCTTCCTCGACGTCCACGTCTTCCACAAAGATTTTGGTGGTCTAAGAACTAAAGCTCTCAAGAAATCGACTGATACGACGCAAGTACTGAGCTTCGGCAACAACTACCCAATCGGACACAAACGCAGCCACGTAATGTCGGTATACCGGATCGTCGTGACCCACTGTAGTGAACCGAAGGACAAGGTTGCTGAACTACAATGTATTCGACGGGTGCTTAGAGCGAATAGGTACCCGCGCAGCTTCGCCAGCCGCGGAGTGTGTAAACGCAATGAGATAGAAACTCCAATCAGCCCCAAATTTTGGCGAGTACGCCCATACGTGAGGAACGTCTCGGAGGCAGTAAGCTGCCTCCTCACACCACTCAGAGTTGGAGTTGCACACAGACCTGGGGCAATCATTAGGCGGCAGATAATGAGGCCGAAAGATCCACTGCCACGACAGGAAACGCCTGGAGTCATTTACCAGTTGTGGACAGAGCAAATACTTCGGAGAAATTGGGAGACTATATCGAAAGCGAACGGTCGAGCATTCAGCAGCGGAGAGAAGGAATGACGTTAACTCCCAGATGGCGGCTCATTTGACGTATCCGGTGACATCTTCAAATTTGATGAGGCCGAAATCCTCGCAGAAGTTGACAACGGCGTGTGCCGTGAGCTGCTTGAGTCATGGTTCCCCGGTCCGCATGCATTAAGAAGCGCAATGCACTTCCTTCTCCATATTCCTTTCTGAGATTTTGCCTAGGAAAAATTATTAGCCACGCGGGGGTTGCGGATGGCTATCACTCATTATGACAGCGATCCAAATGACAGAGTGATCTTTACGTCAAGAATCTAAAACGGTTTTGACATCACGGCCATCAACGACTCGCATACGGAAAAGCAAGTAATCATCGCATCGACTACAACTCCCAGAGATGAACACAGGTGCTACCACATATCATGGGCGTGTCGGTGCCTGACAACCACGTTCTATAAATAGTGCGCACCTTCTACCCTTTTTTCGACTGCTTCTGATGATGAGTTCGATTGAGAATCTGGAACGTCATGCCAATACACTCCTTGTCCCAGCGATTGTATCTTCTTCTTTCCCTTCTGAACAGACTGAGTTATCTCGACAATTGACAATCTTTTGAGCCACAACTAATCGCGCTTCTTGATAGATTAAAGAGGAGTGAGCCGATTCACATTTTGGATGGATTTATTGGTGCCGCCGAACCATGAGACCATCCGAGCCTTTCGAAAAAAGGGCGATGAGATTGGAAGCAATGTCGGACAGTGTTACGCACCCAGTCTGCGTGTGCCGCACACGTCTGGTTCCTAATTTATACATCAGGCTAGACTAATTGATCCGTATCCCACTTTGATGATGTGTGTATGTGCTTATATGCAACGTTTCTCCTGTTGGATCGACGCTTGCAAAGGGAATAGATGACTTGTTGCTCGAGTGAAGTATGATGCGTTTCTGAGAGGTGTCACACACGCTTACGCCGCTTACAGAGCGCACGACGCCCTCTGCGTACGTCTGTGATGTAGGTCCCCGTCCACGACACCCCGTACGTCTTTCAATGATGGTTAGTTGAAAATACATGCATCGATGGCAAACAGAAGGTTTCCTGTTCATTTTCCCCGTCAAATACAGCACATCCGGTTGCGGACACACTTCGGTCTCCCTGCCTGACGGAGAAAGGACATTTTGATAGTGTTGTGGCTTCTGTTCATTTCATTTGCGGGTAGTCGGATGAACATTTTCGTAAATGGAGACGTAGAGTAAATATTCCAGAACAATGTCCCAAAGATGCGTTATTTCCTCCACTTTGCTATTCTGCTCCCATCTGCTTCATGGGTGGCTTTTCAGTTTTACAAGAGAAAATGTTACATTATGTTATTACCGACGAAGACAAGGGAGGCTGGAATGGCCATTTCTGGTTTATTAGTCGTCGTCAGCCGGTCACACCCTATCCCGAAGGGTGGAACACCTGGGGTTCGAACTCACCACCCGTTAGTTGGAAGTCCAACGCCCCTAACCACTGGGCCACGGGTCCGTTGTCCTGTCGGGTTTGATCAGGAATACACAATGGTAGAGGAACGCTCACCGATCGTTCTTACAAAACTCACTCGGTCCGTTGTGCCTTACGGAATCTCCCTCGATCCCAACCAGCACACTTCGGGATTGCGTATGACTGGCTGACGACGGCTAATAAGCCAGAAATGGCCATTCCAGTCTCCCTTGTCTTTGTCGGTAAAAACATACTGCCTATATCATGCGCCGCTGTGCCGCTGCTAGTTGGGCTCGAGAGAGCCCGTAAGGTGCAAGGGAACGAGTGAGATCCGTAAGAAAGATCGGTGAGCGCCCCCTACCAAAATACTACATGCCATTGAAAAAGGTAAATAAACTAAATTGAGACATCCAAAGGCACGGATAAACTACCTTGTGTCTTGTCTTAACCTTAACCAAAAAACCAACGAAACCGCATTTCAATCAAGAAATTCCCTACATGTCATCGCATACCGAGTTTGCACACTTCAGATCTTAAAGGTTATTATGATTCCCATCTCAGGCACTCAGTGACCATTGTCCACAGAACTTTTAGCTACGATTCCATCCTCGTTAAAGTTACCGTTGAAGGACGTAAAATTGGCTGACAGCCCTTGCTTTGTCTTAGTTTTAATGACCTTTTAGCAATGGAGGTCGATTTTCGTTTGCGTATTTTGGGTCGCTCTTCAGACTAGAGCGCGGTCGCTATTTAGGCTGCTGACTCGGTAGGCCAGGTCGCGATTAGTAGTACAGTTATACGGAATTTCAGCTCCTTGTGTAATTTTTCTGGTACTCATATGGATCTAAAAGGCCACTTATACTAAAGTACATCTTTACCCGATCCATTGGACTAGATGGGGTCTGTTATATTAATGCATTTCCTTCCTGACAAGAATTTGGACAATACCAAGGTAACAAAAAGGCATAGCTTAATGATATAATCGCTGGTAATGTGAATTTCTAGGAGTGAATGCTGTTTGCCACGATACACTATATACTGTCTTATGTCTTCTCGAACTGTCTGCTGGGATCTCTGCCGTTTTGTCCGACCGTGCAAATGTTTTTCCCCTGAGGCACTTCTGATTAGGTGCTAAAGTGCTGTCCTCACAGTGCAAATGTAAATATGCCAAAAATGACTTGAAATTATTAACATGCACGTTGGTCATCTGAAGTATAGAAACATGCACTCAGTTAAGTGAAATCCTTTATCACAATGACCAGATTGCGGTCTGGTCAAGTAAAAGCATTTGTCCATAGATTGTAAGTGAATTTCATTTTGGAAATTCGATGTACAACGAACTCGGGTGAAGGTCGACAGAAAAAAACAGCAATCAGCTTCGCTTACCCGCATGTTGTCTGAGGCATAGCAGCTTTTAAAAATTGCTCTGCAGATGAGAAGAAAGTAGAGCGAAAGGAGTAACACGTCTAAAAGTCTCTGAGTCACAGGGAAGAACGGTAAATGTTCTCAATCGCAATACAAGAGCAGCATCCAGAGCATCACTATCCGTCTTTATTCCCCAATGTCCTTTATACTTACTTAAAGATTATTTTGGAGAAGAAGGAAGGACTGCAGAAGCGAATAAGGCCTCGACCCCAGAGGAGGACGGCTCCATTTTGAAAAGGCGCTCAGACCTCGCCCAGTCCCCATGCCCCCTTGGGAACCGCCAGCGAATCCAGGGGGGCGTGGGACGAGGGCAGTTTGGGGCATAAATCCCTTAACCAAAAATGAATGCGCAGTTAGACTGGCGATCAAATCATGAAGGAAAATTTATGTCCCGCAAGCAACGCAAAACTGGAGACCATTTATCACGCCCTATGAATACCCCCACAGGTGGTAAACTAAATGCAAAGCTCGAATGAATACTTACGGTCGAATTCGATGTTTTCGACGTCCACGTGCTAATTGCCTGTTCTGAGACCGGCATGGGACAAAGCTGCAAAGATGACAAAAGCGCCCTGGAGGGTGCGTCAGTGGTGCGCCGGCCAAAACCACCTTGCCGGCTACGCGGTGCATCTGCTTTGGAGCTGGAATTCACATCTGGCCTTGAATGACCAGAGCTGGTCCGCACGGCTATGAGGATGGAGGCAGGGTGTGCGTAGGCTGTTCGCAAGAAATGAATGTTGATTTTTGTGTTTCTTTTCTCTTGACAATTGTAGAACCCTTCAACTGCAGGGGATCCAACGTTCAGGGACCTATTTCATGCAAAATGAGGGAATTTGAAGTTTCCCGCTGGTGGACTACTGGAGAAGTTACTCGACTGGACCAGTAGGAGGTCAAATGGGATGTTGGTAACAACTAGATTGCTGCCATAAAGTAGGATTAGCAAGGCGGTGCGCTATGTATGAGGAAAAATTAGACCATTCGATCATTCGAAATGGCTACTTCCCCAGCTCTTATTTGATTAATGGGCATACAACTAGCGCAACAATGAGCCCTAGGCGTGGATGTGTCAGGAACAATTAACCCATTTTCTGTCTCAAATACCACAACAAGTCTTTCAACCGTCCCTTGGCTATTCGAATTACTATGACTTGGTTCTTTCTGACGGTCGTGGAAATGGGCGGTTCCTTATATCTCATAAGTCCAGCAAAAGGAAAAGGGGCAACTTTTTATGCAAAAATGGGCGTATTAAGGTGACTTAAGAGGTGCCTGTCTTAGTCACGCGTGAGCCCCGTTCACTGATCTGGCTTGACGGCAGGACGGAACGCCCTCATTCATCAGGCACTTAAACCAAATCAGTAAAGACCATCAACACAATTTCAAATGGTCGCGTGAGCAGCCGCTTGGGCGTGAGTACATGTATGTTTTAAAGATAAGCGATATGATCAGTTGGACTCAAGTCTAAGCCTCAGATCTTACCAGTCTGCGACTTTGACAGGGCTGGCTTGTGATGGCAAATAAGCCAGCAATGAACCATCCCCGTCCCCATCGTCATTTCTGATAAAACTTTTTCACAACAATTTGTGATTTTAATCTTGATAGTTCTTAACCAGTTTGGGTGAGACCCTGAGCGCTTCGAGATCAGTTAATTTCAAGTTTGGAGTTTACGGACGGCTTTCGAGTACGAAACCTTTGGCCATTCCCTGAAGCCACAATTCCGATATTTGACCGACGAATCCATTTCAAACCCACTTGGAAACTGCATAGGAGTAGTTCCTCTTGTTATGATGCTGTTTACGAGGCCTTAAACTCGTGTGTCTCTTCTGGTTAAAAGTATAGAACACATAGTGTCGGTGACTATATATAGGCCTGGTACCTTTCGCAAGCTTGCCTAACTCGGCGGATAGATGACTCCGGATCAGGATTTAGAAATTCTAGTATTTAAAACAAGCATTTCACCAGGCCAAATGTCCAGGTGACTCTCAGCGATACAACAGACCGCGGTGGTAATCCAGACCACAAAATCTTGTGATTGCGACATCCGCGAGTTTTGTCCTTTGCCAGTTTATTTCCATTATCGTACTTGTTTTCCACAGCTTTTTCAGGCGCCCACCGATGATGTTTTCTAGCATCTGATGGGACCCCGACGGGTCTTTAATAAAAAATTATATTCCTTAACAGGGCATATCATGGCTTCGCTGATTTATTTCTTCTTAATCATCTGAATCACTGACTGAATTGTCGCAGCTGCTTATATGATATTAATATTGTCGATCATCAGGATGAAGAGTGCTTCATTTTCTGTTTTTGAAAATGACGTCTATGGTGTGGGACTCGTCCGTGTAGAGGAAATTTGCCGATGGATCAAATGTGCCCTATGTCTGGTACTCAACCCCACTGATAATTGTTACGACAGCTGTTATGAAGTCATGCATACTGGGCTACGATTACAATAATGAAGGCACAACGGCTCACATGTTTTACAGTTAACCGTTGAGAAAAAGTGCATGAAGAATGTTAGCATACCGTCGGTTCGATTTATTTTCGTCCAGTTTGCCTAAATTCTATGCCATTGTAGCCCTGCTTGCATTAAAAACTTGTATTGCATCATAAAAAACTCGTTCCATCAAAAGACTGATAGGTCGTCTCAACAGCTGACTGATCTTCTCATATCTTAACTATATTTCTGCAGACGCGGATAACAGTTTCGAACTGGTACCCGAGTTATCTTTCAAGTACTCGGGGCGATCTTCTGTCTACTCAACTAGGTTTTAATCGGCGACATCTCGGTAGTTTGATTCTAGGCGCTTGTCTAGGCGCCTGTGCTGGGCATGCGTTAAAATCTATCAGTGGACGAATGAATCTCAATGACTGCCTGATTTTAGCGTTTTGGTTTCAAATATATTTCGAATAGTGACGCATATGCGAGGTCCAGGAAATTACATGGATGAGGGGGAGATGAGTGCGCTAGTGGTAAGAAAGGAATGAAGATTGTAATGACATACAGTCTGGAGAAAAGTATTTGCCAATTACATATACACCTAAAAGACACACTTCTAATGGGTATATGTGCACCTTTTTCCGTATGAATGTGCCTCCAGTATGAGGCGACAAAACCAGCAAAGTGACGAGAAATTGATTAACTTCGGTTTGATGAAGTGCCTATGACTCACCAGATAGAACATGTCTGCAAACCATCTGTTCTGTGTGCTCGTGTATTTGTGTTTCCAGCCCCAGATGGTGGTTAGGGCTACGATCAACTGAGTCAAGATAGAATAATCCTGAAATAGCCCTAGCCAACATTACTTGCATCTAGGCCGCTATTCCCTCTGCTGTCTGCGCTATTTGCGCACGTTGGTGGAGTAACAATTTTCCTGCAAATTGACGTCATTTGCATTGAGCTTTCGTTTCCCTTCCTGTTTTGCTGCTATCTTATGAAACCTATTTTTATGAGAGAAAATGTGTTCAAGTCACAGCATGCCAATAGTTGCAGTAAGCACTTTCTTAGCCGAAAGGAACAGATATTCAGTTATTTATTAGGTTTCGAACGGTAAAAAACCTACCTTGACTATACACAGCAAATTTATGTGATTGGCAGAGAAGGCTGGTGAATTAGATGATGTGCTTCGAACAGAATAAGCTATTACTGGAGCTGTCACAATTGCGAGATTTTGTGATTTGGATTACCACCGCGGTCTGCTGATCTCCTGAGAATCGCTTCAACATTTGGCCTGGTGAAATGCTTGTTTTAAATAATAAATTGTCGAGGTTTGGTCCTCCGGCCCCACTTGATTGAAACGGTATGGTTAGCTTCCTAAATCAATTTTAGTAGTTTCGATTACGGTGGCTTTACACACATCACGCGTTCGCGCCTTCCTTACGACTTTAATCCAGCGAGTGTCTGTGCTTAGGGGGCGGGAGTACTTATACACCAACCTCGGTTACATCACACACGCTTCCTTGAGCGTGCTTTGAGCCCTGCTCGCGCCCTCTTTATTATCTTAATCCAGCGAGTGGCTAAGTAGATTTGCTAATGGCGCTGTTCGGATGGATTGGAACTCCGTCGGTTCCACTATAGTGGCCATATACTGCGAATTGACGCGCGGTTCCCCACGATGGCTTTCCAATTGTGATTGCACTGTCCTTATCCTCTTACTTCATCGAGTGGCTGTGTCGTGGGGAGTGTCACACCACTTTCAGTTACGCCAAGCCTCTCTTCACGCGCGCTTCCCTGCACGTGTTTCGAGCTCTGCTTGCTTCCTCTTCCCTCTCCTAATCCAGCGAGTGGTTAAGACTGGTATATTAAATAAAATTGTTTTAGGAGGCTGCAGGACCAAACCTCATCACTAAAATTTCCAAATCATGATCCTGGGCCATCTATCCGTCGAGTTAGGTAACCTTGTGAAAACTACAAGGCTAGAAACTTTTAACTGACGTGGTGTCGCTTTTCAACTTTATTTCGCAGCGTTTAAAACTGTGCAGGTCTTTTTGAATGAACTTTGCACTGTATGTTAGACACTTAGTGATGTCCTCAAACACTTCTTGAAGACTTCTGTCACTTGTAGGGGGCGCTCACCGATCGTTCTTACCGATCTCACTCGTTCCGTTGTGCCTTACGGGCTCTCTCTCGAGCCCAACCAGCAGCCGCACAGCGGCGCATGATACAAGCAGTATGTTTTTACCGTCAAAGACAAGGGAGACTGGAATGGCCATTTCTGGCTTATTAGCCGTCGTCCGCCAGTCATACCCAACCCCGAAGTGTGGAACACCCGAGGCTCGAACATTGTTAGAAGTCCACGCCTTTAACCACTGGGCCACGAGCCCCTTGCCCTGTCGGTTTTCGATCGGGAATATACAATGGTAATGCCATGTCGGTAATGCCATTCTGCCTATATCATGCGTCGCTGCTGGTTGGGCTCGAGAGAGAGCCCGCAAGGCACAACGGAACGAGTGAGTCCCGTATGAACGATCGGTGAGCGTCCCTCTACCATTGTATATTTCTGATCGAAGACCGACAGGGCAACGGGCTCGTGGCCCAGTGGTTAGAGGAGGGTACCTCTAACTAACAGGTCGCGAGTTCGAGCTTCGGGTGTTTCACACTTCGGGGTTGGATATGACTGGCTGACGACGGCCAATAAACCAGAAATGGCCATTCCAGTCTCCCTTGTCTTTGTCGGTAATGCCATTCTTCTTCTGTCGCTTTCCATGAAACTGTTTATTAATAAACTCACGGTCCTCCAATGGGATCTCCGCTGTTCAATCCCATTGATAAACAACACCTTAGCGACAAGAAACACTGGAATTTGCCTATTGTATCAGAAGTGTGAATTCAGTATAACGATGACCCGTTTGTGACCATCAAGCAAGAAATGATCGGAGACTTCATGCGCCACGAGAATCCACCCATTCAAAGTATCCAAGTAACGATGAACTATAGAAAGAACAATCATTTATTGATCCTAGAGGCATTAGTTTGCCCAGAAGTCAGTAGAGAATGGAAGCGACCGGTACTCCACATATTTTAACATCCTATGGTAACCATCGGATTTCCTACGAACGTGACTGTATTAAAACGTTCTACTGGAATGCTGAAACGCAATCGAACAAAGCTTGACGATAAAGGAACCGAAGTCCTACATTTTCGAAGGTCCTCCCAATCCAACAGATATCTCGAATGCTTCAGTAAGAACTGCCAGCTAGAAGATAACAGAAGAAACACGAGAACGAGACCCTGGTTGGCGCACCCGAAAAATTCGACGGACCATTGCTCAAGCCATGGAGTTTATTTGGACACATGCTTAAATCTACCGTTCGCGAACGATTTTTGCACCCATGGGATTCGTTACTGATATTACCTACAGTATTATTCGCTCACTACGATAAAGTCAATCAGTCCAGGAAAACCATGGGAAAGAGTAGGCGGGGATGTATTAGTTGGAGCCTGCTGTCAGGCGAACGACCGAGCTGTTCCTGGTGGAGTGCCCTCAGGATGCGACTTCGGTTCGGATCGCTTGGCGTTCTTAGCCCAATCGGATAAACAGATTCCACACCAATTACAGAAAGAGTGGCATTTAAACGATGGTCCACTCAATAAATACGTGGCTTGTCACCCGCTCAACAAGCACTGCAAGAAAGGTAAATGGTGTTATTAATACTCGCGCCGAGAGAAGATGGCTAGGAACACAAATGAACTTTTAGGTGCCATTGAGGATGGGCTTTAGGAATGCCCGATACATTGGCAGAAGTGATGAACTCACACATTTCCACAATCATATATATTCGCTTTCGAGTCGAGATAGTATGCATTCGAAGCTGCCATAAAGAAAAAGAAAAGGTTCATCGGAGGAATCGAATTGTTTGCGTATTTTCGAACTAGTTGCCCTAAACAGTAGTCGGACGAAGCGTCTAAGAATGAGGTAACATAACATACAGTAGCTTGGGGTCATATAAGCTGCAGCAACAGACCATGCTACCGAAAGACGGGTGATCACAGCGTTACTGTAGGTGTTGGAAGGGTAATTTATGTTTGCGGCCCTCGGATAACGGAGATATCGGACTAGTGGAGCTGCAGACGGTCGGTTATGAATCAGCGATCGTTGGCTTGGGGGTAAGGAGGAGGAGGTTCTGTAAATCATGTACGCAGACCTTCGTGGCGCGCGTCCAAGTCTACAGGGTGGTTAATATTGGTTCGAGGAGTTCTCAGGCTTGTTCACTGTTGGAGATGGTGACCATTTCAGTATAGTCCACATTGAATAGGTGGTCACCGTTGAGTTCGAAGCCAAAAGCCAGCATCTGTTCATTGGTGCGGATGATCAGACCTCGAGCCGTATGACCAGCGTACACGCATTCGTTCAACTTCGGTGTTCTTTACGGTGGCAAATGCGCCATCCACGTAGTGAGACCACATTTTGGGTTTGAGAGTCATGTCGCAGTACAGTTGCTGTAACAGTTGAAAAAGGTGCGAAACCGTCATCATGGATAAGATTGATTACTTTAAGGTAGTAGACAGAATCATCGATTAAAGGGGAAACCACAACACACCACCGAAGACTCCACAACAACATAAGCTTCAGCTGTTTGGAAAATGGAAAGTGCACTCGTTGAGTTGAAATCCATAAGTTTTGCTGATTCTATGCGTAGTAACATCAGTTGTCGCTGTGTCACACATGGTAATGAAGTCAGGTTGGCGAAGTTGAGAGAACCGGGTTGATAATTTGCCCGGAAGCTACAATTTTAGGCTGGGAAACTCGAAGGCAGAACGCATAACATTTGAGGCGTGGTGCTCGAATGCCAACGCCATCAATAGACATCTGGTCCTTCCTTCATAATTGCGTTCACAAAGCTCTCGCCAGACGACCATACAGAACTTAATAGGGTCGCGCTGACAGCCTGACGCGGAGCGCACTCGACGAAGAAGAAGTAGAAGATCTGCTAGACCGACCAACCCCGACAGTGGCTCAACCACCCCCCCCCCTCCCCAGACGAGTTGATGACGCACGGCGCACGCAGCCAAAGAGCCCACCAAACATCCCCCGAAAGGCCAAGGCAGTGAGAGAAACGAAAATAACCATCAGCACGAGGCCGACTAGCGCGGCATGTTACTTCTGTTCCTGTTCTATTGGGTGCATTTTACGCTTTGACGGTAGTGAGCCGACCAGGCTCTCCGAAACGTCAACATTCCAATAACTCTGTTCCGGAAAGCCCTTCTTACTTCTCAAATGCCTATGAACAGCCAGAAAGCAATAAATTCTTCTGATTGAGCATCACATAGGCCATAATCAGCGTCATAGGCTAGAACCACCGACTGGTTCCGCGCGAGATAATGGGAGGACAGGTAGAGTATATAGACCCCATCAGTGGAGGGCTGTTTTGGCGGAGTTAGCCTCCCGGATTTCTCATGCGCTTGGTCCTCACACAATTTGCAGTGGCACTTCACAGTGCCCAGACTTGTCATTTGCAGGGTTCATAACGTGTGCACCGTAAAGTCGACTGGCAAGTTGACAAATGTTGATCCAGCGCTGGGGGCTTACCGTCATTAAGAAAATAACAGTCTTGTATCATTACAATGGTAACTTTCTTCTTGAGGCTTGTAGTCCTTCATTGGCAGCGGTCATTGTTCACAGGCAGTCTATATCGCAGATATTTCGCCAAGAAATCCTTATGCAAATTTAATTTCACAAACACGTGTTTTCGGTAACTCATCATCGGACCAATACAGTTACATAAAGATTGAAAATATGAGAAGTTCACAAGGTTTATAAGTGACTCAGGGACTATTAACACTCATCGTTACCTCGCCACACGCATGACGCGGTGTTATGATCATTGGGACAAGAGAGGAATGACAAGTTGTGAGCGATGCTTGTAAGTCGGGTACGTGGGGTACACATCACTGTCATCAGGGGGTTAGGGCGGCATGTGATAACCATCCGGGGTCGGCGTTGGCCACGGGAGACGGAGCGCCTGTGTAAACGTCTCCTGACAACATAGCACCGGATTCGGTAGCCGCATAGACCCTGCCTCGGCTGTGTGTGCTGGTGTCTGGTAGCCAACTGAAGCTTATTTGACATCGATTCAGTGATTCGTGTCGACAAGATGTGCGAGAATAGAACTCGAGATCGATTCGTTTTCAGCTCTGCCCAGCCAGACTGGCATGTGTTCTCGTATCCTCTTTTACAGGCGTCTCGTCATACGCCCAATGTATCCTGCTCTACAGGATACACGTACTGACCGAAGAAGTCAAGGTTATTAAAAGTATCTTGCCACCATGTCTTCTCGACTTTGCCCTATGAAGCCTCTAATGCGGGAACTTAAGCCGAGGGTAGGTGGATGGCTCTCGTACTGCAAAGGTCTGGGGTCTGAGCGGGAGGCTGTGCGACAGACCATGAACCTACATCCTGCCAATCAGGCGCTGTTCACACGGCTCGGATGAGTTCAGACAGGGTAGATAGGACAGTCGAACGAAGTCACGCGGGTCAGCATCTGATGTCCACCTAGAAGAGGAGTAAGCTAGCCGGAGGTTAGGTGACCAGCGTGGCGTATCGCTTAACCGACGCGCCCAGGAGGCCCAAAACAATTTGCACGATCAGCAACAACTGATCAGTCCGCCGGATGAAGAGAGGGAGGTCAGCTACCGAGACCCATTATCCTTTGTGATACAGTGCCTAAAGCTTCGACGAAAGAGATAAACATCGGCCACCCTCGGCCATTCTGCCACCCACCGAGAGGATTCTTTCTTATGTTGACTGCAATACTTCTATCTCTAGAGTCCCTTCGGAATCATAGTTCAACCAATGTAATGGACAGAGCATCGTCATTCAAGGTCCACTGCACGCACATCTATATAAACTGGTCTGCCTGCACCGTGCAGAGCAATTCTGGTCTCTGGTCTTCAAAGCGGAAATGGTGATATGTGATTGCTCTTGCCAATAATGGGTACTTTGCATTGAAGAGAGACAAAATCCAACATGTGCAAGAAAGAGGCTTATTTCCTTGCAAAATGACGGCTTAGTTCTAACGATTTGAGAGAAAGAACACAGCCCAGGGTCTTCTCTGTTTCTCACCGATACACTTTTCTGCCATGTGGTCACAAGTAAAAATGATAAGTGATCGCAGCCATCTCACCAAGGGGTGCAAATCGACGCATATGTAGTTCCATAGGATGTTTTTTCAAGTTAGATTTATGACAATCGAATACACACACAACTTTATTTGACTGGCAACAAAATTAGGCTTGGAACCTGCAAAATCGACATGTTCAGAATGAGTTTCGCGGGACTGATCAACAGGGGACTGCGTCGGGAATTAGCATGCAAACCGGAGTCCCCCACACCAGTAACCCTGTTTGCCCTCCCTGACGACGCTAAAACCATTCATAGGACACTCTAAAACTGCTACAGTCTGATCGGCCAGAGTTTCATGGATACCTCCTGTGTGCGTTACAGTGGGCTAAAAGTTACTTGTAATGGGTAGACCTGCTTTTTAGGGATACATACATTAGTTGGAACGCACCTTCTCTGGAAACGACCACTAGCAGAGTGCATTCAGTAATATTTACCCGCGTGAATCTGTCTGCAGTTAGGTGGCTGATGTGGAATTAGCGTCGGTCCATTGTCGCGAACTTGAAATATAATTCAGGAAACTAGACTGTTTAGTGCCGTATCAGAAAACTACCGCCAACGGTTTTTATATACTACTGAGGTTTCCGGATCAGTCTTTGATTAACCCCATGGGAACGAACTTTGATCTTCAGCATAGAAGTACAGATGAAAGTGGAAGTTGAGTAGGATATATTTGTCTTAAATACTGAACGATTAACAATACTGGCAGCGCCGGTACTAGTTAAAAGTCCAGATGCGCGCGTTCCGTTAGAAGACTCGCTGATGAGTCGAAGCCTTCGCAGCTGCATAATGCAACGACACAAAGTCGTCAAAAAACGCGTCTGGGCTTTTTGCTAATACATGTACTGTCAGTATAGTAAATCCCTCACTGTTTGCATACTACTGATTGTCTGTTGGCAGTTTGTAAATAATGCGCAGTTATTCCGCAGTAGCTGATAGATTAAAGCTCAAATATTCCTATCAAAATTCTGACTGGACTTGAAAATCTTTGTCTCGAAGAGTTTACTTCGTGGTCGCGTATTGAAAGACAGAAATTAGTCAGTTGGAATTTTAGGTTGTCGCTACAAACACTGCCATATGAAAAATATTTCTGCCTATTTGACTATGCTTTTCACTGTAGTGAATCTACCTCAGAAATGTCGTATGGAGAGATCTACCTAAAACGCAAAGAACCGCGATTTCATCAAATTTCCGGCTATTTAAGATGCTGCTTAGTTGGATAAGTAAAGGTAAGAAGGTTCCACTGGCAGAGGTCCTCAGAAATAGATTCCGAATTTGTGCACTTGAATCGGAAAGCTGTGTTACAATCTTGCACAAGAATTGCGACAAAGATATCAAGGATTAGGTCATCATACTCTATGATCTTCTCTTTTATGAATGCAATCGCATAGGGATTTAGTTTAAATGGAACAGGTACAAATCATACATCATTCTCCTGCTTTAAAACAGCAGTCTGTGCTTCAGTAAGATCTTGCTCAGGAGTGATATGCTGCCTGTGTTGGACAAACATGTAATATTTTTTAGTCTTTAGACTACTGTTAAGGTGTGCGAGCAATTAAGTATCCTTTCGGGTCAGTCAAGTCATTCAAATTTGCTCAAATTTGGCCTTGGGAAGTGTTACAGTTTTTCGCGTAATCTTTCCAGTGGACATAAATTGCTTGAATTCAAATGGTCAACTGCCTTGTGGTAATTAGGATGTGCCCCCACTCCAGGCGGCGCACACGTCGAGACGCCTTGTAGACATCATTAATTAGAAAAACGAAGACGCATGGAAATAGCGGGTACTTGGTTCTGGGGTGCCCAGCTGTGGGCCCACGTGGTGGCCGTAGTAGGTCGCTCAATAGCAAGTGTTGACTACGCCTGGCGTCCATTAACTGGCACCCAACCCTCGCACGTGGCTCCTCGAAGCTAGGTTCTGCCTAGCGGCCACACCTTGGTAACCGCCTCGACCGGCGGGCTAAACCTCGTGGGGCATCCGTGTGTGTACTCTCTCACACGGCAACTCCGCTCGTCTCCCCTTCCTCTCTTCCCTCCTCCACAGCTTTCTTCCTCCGCCTTTTCCTCCCCCCTCTTCCCCCTCCCCCCCTTCTATAAACCCTCTTCCCCCTTCCCCCTTCCTCCTTCCCTCTTCCCCTCCCGCTTCTCCCTTCTTCTCCCATTTCTTCCACCCCCTCTCCTCCACCATTCCCCTTGCCCTATACTCTCTCCCTCCAAAGTTCGAAAAGTCCTATGGCGGGGGCGACATGCAATCCCGTAGGCCGCCCAGGCTAATTCTGGTCGTCCTCCCAATAGACAAAGTCGTGGCTTATAGGGGAGTCCGGCAGCCGTCTGGGATGTCCAAATAGCCCTATTTAAGGACAGCACTGCTCACCTCCTCGGCGAGGAAGGGACTAGAAAAGGTGTCCCAAACAAATGCTGGGACCACGTCTTCTATATGCTGAGCGTGGCTTGCAGATGTGAAAAAGCGGTCAAGAAACAACGACGAACCACAAGCAAAACCTCTATCTTCCCCTCCTCTTCCGCCGCCACACCCTGCAGGCTGCTGAGGTGAAGTCACTCAATCTGACAAAAGAGAATGTTCGTTCCCTTTTAAACAGTCCGAGGAGCAACCAACCGAAACGAAGGACGGCTCCAGTCGAACGGGAACGGGCGTGCTACAAGGTGGACATTGCTGAACTCAGCGAGGGCTGGTTCTCCGAACAAGGCCAAATGGAAGATGGGGGTGCCGGCTACATCGTCTGTAGCGGTCATCCCAAGGCGGAGCGACGGGATGTGGTAGTCGCCTTTGTCATTCGGAACGACATCGTGGGAGGACTGCCCCGTGTGCCACGGGGAGGCAAATTCGCCAAACCAATGACCGTTTCAGATGAGGCAAAAACCGAGTTCTACGAAGACCTGCAAGCGCTCGTGGCGACTATGCCGAAGGCGTATAAGTTGATTGTCCTTAATGACTTCAGCGTCCGCATCGGCACAGACCATGCTTCCTGGGGAGGACTGCTGTGTCCCTATGATCTCGCCGGCTGCAAAGACAATGGTCTCCTTCTTCAGCGAGCTTGCGCCAAATACCGCCTCCTTCTGACCAACACCCTATTCCACTGAGTACCAATTTGCTGCTTTTGCAGCCTCACCGTTTATATTTCAGCAATCAACTGTCTGAAGGACCCGAAAGCTCCAGACAAAAACATCTCCACGGAGACTCGATGGTGCCATCAGCGGACGCCGTCCATTCGACCGCTCTGGGTGTCCTCGGCCGCGCACGCCGTCAACACCATGACAGTTTCGACGAAAACGACACAGCCATCAGCAACCTGCTCGCCGACAAGAACGTGCTGCACAGAGACTGCCTTGATCGTCCAGCCGATGCAACGGAGAAGGGCCTTCTACCAGTGCTGCCGCCCTGCGCAACAGCGGCAGCAGGAAATGCAGGACAACCTGAACGGCTCGCAAGACCGAGGGGATTCAGGGGTATGTCGACCACAATGAAACGTATAATTACTTCGCTGCGATCGATGCGATATACGGTCCCACATCCAAAGGATCTGAGCTGCTTCTCAGCTCCAATGTATCAACGCTTCTGACGGAGAAGTGACAGATTTGAAGCGCCACCTCGAACACTTCAGAAGCATCCAAAACCGTTCCTCCACAATCTCCGACGCCGCAATCGGTCGACTCCCCAAGTGGAAATTAACATCGTCCTGGATCTCCCGCCCTCCCTCTCAGAAACCATCCGCGCCGTGCAACAACTCTCCAGCGGGAAACACAAGGTTCTGATGCGACCCCACCCTTCACCTCCCCCAACGCACACACACGACGACAGTTCGACCGTCGATTTCGAAGATGTCCACCGTGTGTCCCACAGCTGCAGCAGCGATGGAAGCAGGGGCGGTGACTTGCGCAGGGGTTTATAGTGCCAGTAGACTTGCGCTGCATTTACCTACACTCTCTCCTCCTCCCCCGCCTGAGTCCGGTGTAAAGACAGAGTCAAGAAGACCGGAGACGAGGGAGGCCGCCAGTTGATGGCTCGGACGGATCCTCACCTTGGAGTTCCACTACACCCCCTGGTCCACACAATAAATGACCAGGATTTAAATCAACACAACAGAGTGGAGGCTGACACGGCCGAAGCCGCACCTAGGCGTGCCGCCAACGCCTGTCTCGGATCTCACAATGTGGTGGGAGTGCCATAAAGGCCATATTAAAAAGGAGCCATTGCAGCCTGACTCTCAGAACACCACCAGTCCAAGAGGAGGTCCAAGTTAGCCCGTCAGCTGGCAACCTTCCAAGCCACGGCTTTTAGCGCACCGTGATAGCTTCAAGCGCGTCAGATTGTTTATAGTGAGGAAAGTGCGCTGAGTCGTCGACCTCACTCTCCCTTCCCATTCCCACACCCCAGCCACTGTTCGAGCCGGTCAGTAGACTGGAATGGGAAATGGGCGCGGTGGATGGCACGGTCGACTGGCCATGCCTGCGCGCGCCACATGCACGACCTGGCCCCCCAAACACACACACAGCAGGATTTCACACAATGGGGGTTGAACGGCGTGTCTCTCACTTGCGTGAGAGGGCCGTGGAAGGTGCTGTTTCAGCCCGTATCCCAGCCCACCAGTCCGCCACTCCATACAACACACACACAACGGGACGGACTGCGTGGACCGAGTGGGGACGTCAATCAGCCGCCTTCCTATCCACGACGCTTGACGTGTCGGGATAGTCTCGGACCCAAGTCACCCGTGCAGCCGAAGCCGCATGGGGACCGAGTCGGGATGCACACTTCCCATTTGCGTGGGAGGTGGCAGTTGGACGTATGCGGTGGGTGAGTTTTGATGTGTGATGGGGTGACGTAGGTGTTGGAGGAGTCGAGGGAGTGTGTGAAGGTGTGTTGTAGCCGGCGGTTGTCTATCGCAGGTCGTCTTGGATGCGCATGTGGACGAATAGGCCCGTGCGATGCCTGAAAGTGCGAGAACAGTGTGGACAGTTGAGTCGATTGTGGTGGGTGTGGGTTGGTGCTCCAGGCACTGGTTCGCCAGTCTCTGTGCGATGGATTCGCAAGTGAACGACCAGGCCGATGCGAGAGGTGAATGTGCGTGGACAGTGTGGGCAGGTGATGTTGGTGGCGTCGGTGCCAGCTGCGATGACGTTGGTTGGCTCTTCGGGTGCTGAAGTGACAGTGGAGTTCGGCGTGATGGGTGAGTCGGGAGAGCTGTCAATTCCGCTCTCGTGGATGTCATGTGGCCGAATAGACCCATGCGATGCGTGAAGGTGCGAGGGCAGTGTGGGCAGTGGAGGCGGGTGCGGTGGGTGTGGGTTGGTGCTCCAGGCACTGGTTCGCCAGTCTCTGTGCGATGGATACGCAAGCGACCGACCAGGCCGATGTGTGGGGTGAATGTGCGGTCGCAGTGAGGGCATGTGTAGTTCTGATCCTCATGGCCGGAGTCGGAGGCAGTGGGGGTGGTGTCGGCTGTTGTGTCAGGGTGGGTGATGTGCAAGACGGCCGCATGAGCGGCCGTCGTTGGGGCAGTGATGGTGGTGGTGGTGGTGGAGGAGGAGGAGGAGGAGGAGGAGGAGGAGGAGAATGGAAATAGTGGTTCAGAAGAATTGGCAGAGTTAGTTGGCGGCGGAGAGGACGAGGAAAAGGCGGGCGGGTGGACGATGCTTGGTGCAGTTCAAGAGGCGCAGTTGATCCGAAGATGTCCAACAAGTCCGATTCGAGCCCGAAATGTCCGTTGGCATCGAGGGCATGTTGGAAGCGGTTGTGCGTCGACGTTGCGTACTCAGCGAAGTTGTGATTTGCGGGCTTCGCGTTTCACTTTGGCGGCAGCGACGCGGTTGGCTTCGTAGATCGCAGCGTCTGTTTTCACTGTCCTCCTCCAGGTCGGTCGGTCGAGTGCGAGCTCTTCCCAGTTGGTCGGGTTAATTTGCAGAAGCTTCGGGGAGGACTTCAGAGTATCATTGTATCGACGAATTTGGCTTCTTTGACGGCGATAACCCGTCGCGACGTCTCCGTAGAAGAGTCGTTTGGGTAGTCAATCGTCGTCCATGCGCACCAGGTGGCCGCTCCAGCGCAGCTGCATTTGTCTCAGCATGGTGTAGATGCTGAGGATTCTCGTCCTTTCCAACACATAAGTGTCGGGGATTTGATCCTGCCAGTTCAGCCTCAGGATGCGACGAGAAAACTGACGTGGAAGTGATTCAGTCGGTGCGCCTGCTTTGTGTCCACCGTCCAAGTCTCCGTTCCGTACAACAGCGTCGGCAGGATGACGGCCTTGTACATCTTCAACTTCGTGCTCATTTGGAGACCGTGACGACTCCAAACTGTGTTTTGGAGGCAGCGAAGGCTTGACTGGCTTTCGAGATCCTGTGAGCGACTTCGTCATCGATTTTGGTGTTACGGGAGAGGGTACTGCCCAGGTACGGGATGTTCTCCACCACTAACAGTTGGGTTCCGTTCACACTGATGTGCGGTGGCGGCGCGTTAGTAGGAGTGGTTGTGGTGGGTGGCAGTTGATGCATCACCCCGGTCTTCTGCGTGTTGATGACCAGATCGAATTTCTCGCAAGCGGCGGAGAACAGGTACATGCTCCGTTGCATCGCCTCTTTCGAGTTGGTGTTCTGGGCGCAGTCGTCGGCGAAGAGAAGTTTGTGAACGGTGGTTGTGGATAAGCGCGATCGGAAGTGCATCCGCCGTTGATTCAGGAGGTGACCGTCCGTCCTGTAGGCGATGCGCATCCCGGGGCGTTCGTCGCGGTAGGCGTCCATCAGCATGGCAGAGAACATAAGGCTGAAGAGGGTAGGCGCCAGCACGCATCTCTGCTTCACTCCGTTGGTCACTGCGAATGCCCCTGAGACAACTCCGTTGTCCGTGACTCCCGCCATCATGCCATCATGGAACCCAAGCACCATCTGAGTGAATCGCTCCGGACAGCCGAATTTCTGCATGATCTTCCACAGGTCTTCACGATTCACCGCGTCGAAGGCTTTTGTCAGGTCCACGAAGGTAGAGTACAGGTGGGTCTGCATCTCCTGGCACTTCTCCTGAAGTTGACTGACGGCGAAGATTTATCCGTGGTCCCGCGATGACGACGGAAACCACATTGACTTTCTGGCAGAAGGCCCTGTTCCAGATGTTTATTCAGACGATTGAGGAGGATGCGAGCGAAGATCTTCCCGGCGATGTTCAGCAAGGAGATGTCACGGTGATTGTCGCAGACTTGGCGGCTCCCTTTTCGCTTGTGGAGGTACACGATGGTTGCGTCTTTGAAATCTTGCGGGACTTCAACTTGACGCCACATCTCCTGGAAGAGCGCAGTCCGGTGGTCCATGATTTGGGGACCTCCGTGCTTGTAGACCTCAGCAGGGATTACGTCCGATCCGGGTGCTTTCCCGCTGGAGAGCTGCTGCACGGCTCTGATGGTTTCCAGGCAGTATGGTCTGTGCCGACGCGGGCGTTGAAGTCACCGAGGACAATCAACTTATCCGCCTTCGACACAGTCGCCAAGGGGGAGTGCAGGTCCTCATAGAATTTGTCTCTTGCGGCGGCGTGGGGGCTGCTCATAGGCGGAGCGTAGGCGCTGATGATGGTAGCGAATTTGCCCCCACCCCGAAGAGGCCGACGGAGGCTCATCAGGCGATCGTTGATGACCTGCGGCAAACAGGGCAGTCGTCCCACGATGTCTTTCCGGATGGCGAAGGCGACACCCGCGTCTCGTCGCTCTGCCCTGGGCCGACCACTCCAGAAGAAGGTGTAGCCGGTACCCACCTCCTCCAGTTGGCCTTGTTCGGAGAATGGGATCTCGCTGAGTGCGGCGATGTCCACCTTATTGAGCACTAGTTCCCGAGCCATTAGCGCTGTCCTCGGTTCCGGTCGGTTGCTCTTCGGATTGTCCAAAAAGGGAACGAACATTCCAGGTTGCCAGAGTCAGCGGACTCACCCTGCCAGTCTGGTGATTGCGGCGACGAAAAGGATAGAGAGGGGAAGAAGGAGAATAAGCAGGGCGAGGAAGAGAGAGGTTGTTGTTGTTTCGGTTTTGACTGTTTCGACCGCGTGTTTCTTGTCTGCGGCCACGGTCAGCCTACGGACAGCGTGATTCCTAGTAATTTTAGGGCATCTTTTCTAGCCCCTTCCCCCTCGCGCGGGCAGGCAGCGCACCCCCTAAATAGGGCTGCCCGCTTATCCCAGATGGCTGCCGAACTCCACTATGGGCCACCACGTTTTGTTAGCGAGATGACGACCCTAGTTAGTCTTCGACCTTGGTGGTGATGTGGTGGAGTTAAGTAGGAGAGAGCATACACGCAACAGAACGCTATTGGATGGGCAAGCAGACAGTCATCAGGCGGGTACAGAAGTAGCAGGACACCATTCGAAGTCAAACACAGTGGCATCTAGTCATTAGCAAAGAGTAACTCAGGCTAACACATACAGAGCAGGCAACAAGAGCAGCATACAGCAGGTGATTCAAGCAGGCAAGTAAGGAAACAGAGCAATGTTCCTTTACCTGAGTATTCACTTACCTGGTGCCCTCCTGCGGTGGTCCAGGCAGAGCCGCGTCTCAACGATGCCGACGCGATGAGCCATCCGGCCAACGGTGACCGCAGTAACGTGTGTGCAGGTGCACACACGTAGAGATGATACCGGTCTGGAGAAGCGAAGTAAAGACCATCTGCGAAGCATATCGGATCGTCGTCGCCAAAGCCGAAATGAAGGATCGTGAATCACCCGTTCCTGGACACTTTAGTGCCAGCGGTCAGCCGCTTCCAATACGCCAATGGTGTCACCGAACGTCACGGACACCATTCGGTCTCGCCGCCGGCTGTACCATATTTGGACAACAGCTGCTACCCAACACGCAAAGCAGCACTCCTCCTGCAGTCCATTTCGACGGCAACCAACTTCAAACTGTGAACAACTTCGCTTACCTAGGATGACGAATTGGTCCACCGGGTCACCAAATCTAGCCAAGCCTTCGGCCGGCTACAGAACGTCATGGCCTCCAACTGAATATCAAAATGAAGATCTACAAGGCCGTCTTCATGAGGACACTTCTGTACGGAACGGAGACCTGAACTGTTTACTCCAACCATGCTTAGAAGTTCAATCACGTCAATCTCAGCTGCCTCCGCAGAACACTGAAGCTGAGATGGCAGGACAGGTTCACCGTCACGGAAGTCGTAGAGCGAACCAGAACCCATAGCATTCACGTCATGTGGAGACCACTGTAAGTATGTTGGATGGGCCCTCAGATGAGGATGGAAGACACACGTCTACCGAAACAACTCTTCTACGGAGATGTCACTGCGGGTACTGGTAGGCGAGAAGGACAAAAACGACGGTACAAAGACACACGGAAGAACTTCCTGAAGCGACTGTAGATCAACCCCGAAATCTGGGAGGGTCTCACAGAGAGCATACCGGACTGGAAAAAAAATGAATACGAGCGCAACCACCTGCGCAGCAAATCGGATCGCCGTCGCGAAAGTCGTCATGGATGATCGTAAATCACACGTGCCTGGACTGTTTAGTGCCAGCGCTCGGCCGCTTCCAATACGCCCACGGTCTCACCGAACGTCCCGGGGACCATTCGGGCTTGTAGAAAATCTTCGGGACCCAATGCTTCAACAACCGCAGAAACCATGATCTCTCGAACACCTTACACTGACGGGACGACATCCGACGTCGCGTCATCTACTATCACCACCATCACCTTCAGCGATATGAGCTCGGTCCCATCCTGCCTTCATTGCACTCGCACATTCACCTCACACATCGGCCCGGTCGATCATTTGCGAATCCATCGCACAGAGACTGGTGAACCATTGCCTGGAACATCAACATAGAGTTGTCTTATTCGCCTCTACACTTCACACTGCCATTGCACATTCACTCTACGCATGGCCCTATGAGGTCTCATGAGCATTCGTGAAAACCTGCAGTAGACAACGGCCGGCTACACCACACCATCACACATTTACCCACCATCACCAGCACCGCAACTCACAACGCTATCATCCATCACAAACACCCAATTGCAACCTCCCAGGCTATTGCGGATTGTGCTTCTCGACCCTTCCGATGCGGCTCCTCCGTTGCATGTGGTGTGAGTCTGAGACTATCACGGTGTTCGTTGTGGACCAGAAGTGTGGTGGTACGCCTACAGCTCACAGTCTTGCGTTCCGATTACGATTTGTCCGTTTCCTTCAATTTTTTTGGGATCAGACTGATTGGAACACAATGCTCTTCAGTTTTGTTCAAAGGGGTTAAGTCCACGTTGTAGAATACTTCCGTTCACATTTCTTCCTGCAGTTGCCCTTTCTAGACGATTTTTTTGTGGATTTAGTCTTCTTTAGTAATACGAGTGTCGTATTTTATAATATCTGTCGATTCGCAGGTCACGGGTTTGTAAAAAACCGAAACTCGAGAAAGATCAATAAGGGCCATAAAGTCTTCACTTGCAGTCCTAACTATCAGATCATAAATCATGACTGCTAACGATTATGAAGATAGACATAAGCGATATACTGGTGGACGGGGAAATCATTAATTCAAAATCTGACCGTTGTAAGAAGACCATGGTTACCATGGCGATAATGCCAGGTCGCATGAGATATAGTCTAAAATATTACGTAAACTTGGAGTCGTTGCCAACAGGCATTAAATCAAGGATTCAGGCAACTGAATCGGCAAATACGTTGTATTGTTTATAATGCCCCCTTTATTATTTGAATAAAGCCTCGATTTGTTTTGCGACTACGCAGCATGTGAGCAGAAGTCCTGTTTTCAGATCAAACGTATCGAAATATTTGGATATTGCAGGAGTACCCTTTCGGTTATATCTTTCTACCTCGTTTAATTTAGGTCCTCAGGAAAAGTCTTTTAATTCTGATATGCACTTTTTCAAAAATAGGATGTAACTGTAACACACCTCCCACGCATGTGGGAAGTGTGCGTTTCGGCTGAGTCTCCATGAGGCTCCTCTGTTGCCTGTCTGATCCGAGTCTGAGACTATCACGTTGCGTCAAACGCCGTTGCCTGGAAGGCTGCCGACTTACGCCCATTTCAGGCCGTCTGTCCAGTTGTGTGTGTTTGTGTGGAGTTGCAGACTGGTGGACTGTGAGCCAGGTCGCAACGGCTCCTTCTTAACATGACTTCTGGCATTATCACACATATCAGATATATGCCGCCCACCTCCTGTTGTGTGAAATACTGGTGCTTGTGTTTAGGTGACCAGGTCGTGCATTTGGCGCGTGCCTGCGAGGTCACTAGATGTCAGCCCTGCGCCCATTCCCCGCACCAGAAAACTGACCGGCTCGGACAGTGACTGGGACCTGGAAATGGGAATAGAGAGCGAGGTAGACGACTCAGCGCATTCTCCTCACTTTAAACGGCTCGACGCGCCTAAAGCTCTCACCGTGCGTTTTAAGCTATGTCTTGAGAGGTTGCCAATTGACGGGGAACTTTCACATCACAATTGACCTAATTTTTAATTTCAGCGATGGTACTATGTCTGAACCTAATCAGTCCAAAGACCCCTCAATGTTCAAGGTACCTAGAGTAGGTGGGCTAACTCATGAAATCTACCGAATGAGCAAAAGAATGAATATTTTGTGAATTTTTTCAATGAACTATAATTTGACTTTTAGGGCCATCGAAAATCAATGAGAAAAATGCATGGTACATAAGTAGTCATTATTTACAGAGTGTAATTTTGCATGCAGTCGGAAGGAAGTTCATTCGAAAGCCGGCATCCAAAGGTAACTGAAATATTATAGAATTATGTTACAGGCTGACTAGTTTTACAACCCTACTTAATTAATCTTTTCGGAACGAGAACGCATTTCGGAATTTCGGTTGACATTTCATGGGTTAGCCCACGTACTGTACGTTACAAGGCCCAGGGTTTGTCTGCGTGGAACGGCCAACCGGAGGTCTAAGAGTTGGGTTGCAGTTGCTTTTTTCAGTTCGGCTTTCATGGCACTGCCATCTAGTTGAATCCGTGCCGGTCGCGACGGCTACGGCCGTGCTAGTCACCTTTGCTCTCTTCCATCTCCGATCTTTTTGACTATGTCTCAAGAACTGGCCCAGATGGAGGCGGGAGAGGAGTGTGTGGTAGATGCTGCGTAAGTCTAATATCACTGTAAACTGGTAGTGGCCAGCCATCATAACCGGTCTGGCGTCATTGTTCAAGACCTCGCTGTCTCAAGGTCATTCACCCCTTGCAGCGAGCCGTCCCAGACGAGCTGACCTGAAGTCACACGACCAACAGCTTGGACATACCTGCGCCCGCGCAGTCGCAACTGCCCATGCGGCCGCTTGAACGCGCCACCCCCTGCAACCAGCAAAACAAGCCACTGGGACACCACCCCTAGGCAAATGCAACACACGCTGACTGGACACCACTTGAGCTTGGCCCACGAGCCTACGAAAGCGGCTGCCACCACTATCTCAGTGACTCTCAGGCCTGACTGGACGCAGTCAAAACCAGCCCAGGCTTCGCCAGTGGCCACTGCTGCCTGAGAGGACAACTCCGGGATCAGTGCACAATAAATCCTCAACCTGGTGCCTTTTTTCTCTTCCTTCCCACCTGGGATGTGACCGGACGATGGTAGCGCACATACAAGAGCACTTACTCTCACTGCTGTGCAACGACAAACTAATTCACGCGCAAGCCACCGCGCCTGGTCTCACCCTGCTATGAAGCACACGGTGAACGTCGTCGAGTACGACGCATAGATTGTCTGATTATATCTGTCTGTCACTACGCCGGCGACCACCTCATCTTGTCCTGATTTTGTGCTGCCATCGAGACATTGTGGGTGATGCAGCGTAGGTCTGCATCACCACAGATTAATTCACGCGCAACATACAGTAGATGTGCTAACTCATGTAATGTCAACCGAAATTTCGAA